ACATTTTTCAATTTATGCCTCAGCAGTCTATGTTGATAGAAAGTGTCAGTTCAGCTGACAGGGCTACACTCCTGGTTTTGCACCATGTTTAGCACACTTGAAGTCAATTTTAAAATATCCGCCTACATGATGTACAGCTAAGTGCACATCTTTTTGGTGGGAAAGTGAGTTTTTTTTAAACTCATGCAACAGATTGTAATGCAGTGAAAATGAAGTACAACAACAATGTATAGAGTTCAACAAATCCTTATAAATCTATTTCCAAAATAAAATTTAGATACGGTTGGTATTAAATGGACCCTATGAGCGTCAGTCAATATTCTTCCAGGACTGCGTTCTCTTAATATTTTTACAGCTTACCATTCCTTCCCAAGTCTGCCTCACAAACTTCCTGTGTTGTGCACTACCTTTATTTTACTGAAAAACCAATATTATTTACATACAGCCACATAAAGTGCTGAGGCAGTTTTCTGTCACATCAAGACACATTTGCATTTCAAATGGGGCAGATGTCTACCTACTTCCCATGCTATCCCACCCTGCCCGTTCAATTTATTTTAGCTTTCTATTACATCTCCCAATAACAAGCAAGCAACCTTGAAAAAGATTTTTTTAATTTTTTATTAATACAAAATAAACTTACTACTATACACAAAAAACCTATGTAAAATACAAAACAATACAATACAACAAACAACAATTACCCATGTGCTCCCATCACCTTCAGGACTCAAACAATACAATACAAGAAACAACAATTACCCATGTGCTCCCATCACCTTCAGGACTAGTATTACACTTCGTTCCATCCATTTTCACTCCAGAATTTCATTGTTTCTTCCCTTGGTGTAAACCCCCTCCCTTTCCGAAATTTATATTCCAAAAATACTTTCCATAATTTCTTAAAATCATTATTTTCATTTGGCCTCTACTTATTTTCATATCACATGTCAGTTTGTCATTAATTGCAATTACCAATTTTAAGTTGTTTAAAACTGTTGAATTGCTTGGGCCTGATTACACAAGATTATGACTTGTCCTACTTGAAAACCTGCAATAATACAGATCTCCAAAGCCCAATTTCATATTCCATCTCTTGCAGAGGCCAGAATGCTTCCTATGGAGCAGACAGGGCCTTTTCAGTTGTGGCTTGAGTGTCTTGGACTGTTCTCCTCCGAGCAGATTTTTTTATAAGCCCTTTTTGTTCCCATAGTTGACAGGGGTTTGTTGCTATGTGCTTTGCACTGATCATGCTTTCACTTTTCTTCAAACGGTTCTTGTGCATTTTAAACATTTGCACACAGCTATAAAACAGATCAGGAAATGTGAAGACAATAAATAATCAATAACATATCATTTAAAACTTGGTTTGCATCTTATTGACAAACTTGGCCTCCTATGAAGCCAGCCACCTTCTCTGCCTACTAGTTGACAAGAATGATCTCAGATCATCAATAATGTACTCTGGATGAAAATAACTACCCTAGAAGTTTTCAAAGAGGTATCCATGTTAATCTGTTTCAGCATGCATATAACAAAACAAAACAAAAGTTTTGTGACACCTGGGCTATATTTCTCTAGCGGTCACAACCATGCACAGATATATATGTACATCAATGTAGTGCAACTGCAATTTATGGCTCAATGTGGTTAAAAGACAACAACTTGGTGACATCACTAAGTGGCAACACCAAGAATCTCTCTGTTCAAAGCCAAGTCCTACTTGGAAAGCCACCTGTATGTTTAAGGACTGGACATTGAAAAAACAATTGTTTTCTCTACAATTAGCTTGGCTTTTCTTCCTCTTCTGAGAGTCACTACATTTTGAAAGCATGAATGGCTATTGCCTTGGGAACTAAAAGTACTAGGGTAATACTTTTCACCAACCTCATTCTGTAATATGCAAGGTTTCTTCTTTTATTAATGAGCTGTTTCTAGTTCTACTGCCTTGTGAATTTCGTTGTTGTGAATTTCGTTGGCTAGGGTAATACTTTTCACCAACTTCATTCTGTAATATGCAAGGTTTGTTCTTTTATTAATGAGCTGTTTCCAGTTCTACTGCCTTGATCAGGGCCACCTGATTTGTGGAACACTCTAGTAACATTCGTAAGGGCCACCTGCTTTGTGGAACACTCTAGTAACATTCGTAACAGTCTCTCCACAGAGGAAGAGGACACAATTCTGTATGTTGAAATTAATCCAGGAGTTAATTGTTAATTTGTAACAGGCATTTCAAAAAGCCAAGCATCAGTTTAACCCATTAGTTTGAGGCAGCTTATACAGATCAGTGTAAAAACTCCTAGTTCTTTAAACTGTTGGAAAATGCAAGTACGGATGTTTTAAAAGGTTGAGGAGTCCACAGTATTATTGACAATAAAAGGGGAGGGATTTGTGGAGTCTTTTTACACAAGCCTAAGGAAATAGTACAAAATATCTGTATTAGACTGCTAAAAAAGATCACCAGTGTGAAGTAGCTTTTAACAAATGAACTAGCTTTTCACATGACACAATTTCATCACCAGTCTCATTTGCAAGGCATGGAGTGATGCAGATGCCAGTCCCATCAGCAAAATGGAAATAATGCTTTGAATTGAATTGCTATTTATTTTCCATGGGAGCATCTTCTCAAGTTTCCAAAAAGGGAGACTGCTTACAGGTGCACATCTTAATCCAATTATTAATCGATGAGGATGCACTTTAAATATTACCACTGAGATATGAGAGGCACTTTTCTGTATGTTCACTGCAAGACACTGCTGAAGCCTTTAAGGCACAATAGCCAGAATCCTGTGAGTGATTTGAGCATGCATACGTTAACTCAATGCCTCAAATTGCTACTACTTAACAAGGCACTGGCTGCATTACAAAGATTGCAACTATAACTGCACAATAGGCACATACCTAGCAATACTGCCTATGCCTCCTTAGTTAATAAGAACTCAGTGCAGTGAATTACTCGATTTAACTTGCATACATGAAAATCACCAGCAGGATTCTGACAAAATTACCCAGATCTTCACCATCCAGATGCCATCCTTGGATTCTGGTTGGGAAATAATTGGGTGCTGGACCTGTTTGACAGCCCATGTGCTAAAATATGTCACATTGATGAAAGAGAAAGAAAATATGGGATTACAAGTGAAGAACAAAGGGGTGGTTTGACGTATTAATGTTATTGTTTCATAGATGTAGGGCTGTGGCTACACTGTGACAAATGCCCATGGTTTGTTATTAGATCATATTCCAGTTTAAGTAGGTCTTTCTCCAGAAGGCATTTGCTGGGCTGCAATTTAGACTTTCAGGATGACAGAAGGTTAATTCCCACCTGCCACAGTTCATCAATTGAGTAAGTGGAAAGTCACGGCATTCTGGCAGAATAGTATGCTCTGACAAATTAGTAATGCAGCATAACCAGAATGCCTTTTAATCTATTGTTGGGACTCCTCTCACAGAGTCCCAGCTAAGAGAATTGAAATTACACATTTAATCTTACCATGGGCGAGGGGGTGGGAATGAAGCCCCAGAAAATGGCAGAGTGGCACTTCCGATGGTTTAAAATTGGGTCCTCAGAATTACCAGTCCACTTGAGACATAATATTTTTATCTTATCAGGAACGATTTAGGAAATCGGATACAAGCATAAGGTCCACACAGCCTCACTCTCCATATATCCCCTTTACCAGCATGCAGGACCTGGTTTACTTCTTTCACTAAACCCAAAAATGAAGAACTGCAATTCAATCTCTGTTTATCATGAAAATCTTTGACTATAACTTAAACCATCCAAACTGAGAAAAAGAGGGGCAAAGAAAGAGCACCCAGTACTGATCCCTGTTCCTAAGATAGTTACCCTACAGTTTCTATCACACTTGGAAGAGGATTCTCTTCTACAAAGGTTATTGTTCTGTAATGCAGATGCTCACCCCCTTCTGAGATACCGAACCCACACTTGAGGGCTAAACATATTCAAGAGTGTAGAGAACACAAGCATGAACGTCAGTATTCTGTAGGAACACAAAGCATTGTCATTGATGATATTCTGATTTATAACAACTGCATTGGAAGTTACTGTTCAAGCTTAAACGTTTGGTAAAGTCAAGACATTCAGAAACAAGAGCAGATGTTCAAAGCCAGAAGGGTTCAGTTTCCTGCCACTAGTGCCTCTAACTTACACATATTCAAGTTTTTTCATTTCAAAAACTGACATGCACTTAATTATCATACTTTTAAAGCAGAGCTTATTTTTCCAACCTCACTAGGAAGGATCGCTCTTTTACAGGAAAGTTTCAATGTCCTCCATTCCTGGCTTGTTGATCCTTCACCACCAAATGATGTTGCGAGTGGGAAAGTAATATTGACAGCAGTTGTTTGTGCTATCTTCCGGTAATTTGAGAATGGGAACACAGATGCCTCCGCACTGACTGAACCAAACAGCACACCTCCTTTAGCTTGTCAACAAGTGCAAGAGGGGGAAAAAACTGAAGCTCTGTCTCCAAAGCTAAACTTGCACGCAAGCTGTGTATTCCAGTCTTTCCCATCCCTCTTTTTGGTGACTGCTCTTTTCGATACAGAGCGCAGAAAGTCATTTTGCAGACTGATAAATGAAGAAAGCCACAACTTCAATATTATACAAGGAGCAAAACAATAAGGAAATACAATCAGAAGGTCTACTATCCTTCTAAACCTGTAGTTATCTCCTCCCCATGTATAATCAGGATATTCAAGATGGATTACAGCTATGTTAAAATGTATGACAACCTTTTTTTTCTAAGTATCTGTGCACATTTCTGTGATAAAGTAAGAGGAATTCTCAGCCTTAGAAATATCAAAGCTGGTAAAGAACTGATAAAAATCTCTCCCACAATTTTGATCCTTGGCAAAATAGAAAGGGGTAGAGCCATCCATTTAGCTTAGCTCTCCTTGTCACACTTTTATGTCGCAAATTTCAGTTGCCCAAGTCTCTTACATAGCACTCAACACACACAATTTTCACAACTTACCCACTGGACTAGAACCAGCTCCATTTGGCACTGAGAGCTCCGTTGTCGTCAACATGCCACCTAGGCAGGGAACAATTAAAAATACATATATTTCGTTTCACATCATGTGCTGTTTAACAAAATTCGCACAAATGTGGCAATTTCTTGAAACTTACTTATGGGAGAGGAACTTACTTGCACTGCCTGTGCTTGGTGGTCTCTGTGGGCCTCCAGGGGATACATTTCGATGCAGTGAGGCTTGAGGAGGGGAGAGCATGGTGGTGTCTGTCAAGGTAGAACTTGCTGCCAAAGCTGGGGATACAAGGGAACTCCCAGGATTACTGTAGGTTAAAGAATTGGGGCTGGACACCGGAACAGTGACCGACATTGAGAAGTTCTGCGGAGGCAATCCAGGCTGAAAAGAGTGGGGGGGAAATTATGTGAGCTACATTTTTCTGAAGTCTTTAATCAGAGGTTAGAATTGCAGTTATTATTTACATTACTACAAAATCACCTCAATACACACATCAGAAATACTGTTTAATGCAAAGTACTAACACTTGTTATACACAAATCGATAGAAACCACAGGTAGCATTCTCAAAACTGGTTAGAAATAATCAAGAGTGACAGTTAATTGCTCTAAATTCATCACATAAAGATATTTTTACAACGTAATAAAAGTTAAAAAGAAGAAGAAAGGTATTACTGCCGTTTCCCAGTTATATTCAAGCAAGCTTTTATAAAAAGAATTCACTTATTTTCAGAAAATAAACATTTCATCTTTACAATCAGAAACTATTTTAGAGTGTTTAAGCATGCATATTAATTACACACAAAAAAGCTCCTAGAAGTACAATTCTAATTATTAAAGTCTCTGCCAAGGCAAAACGGATTTTATACATTATTTAGTTCATGTTAAACAGGCCCCCAGAAAAAGGTAAAATTTGAGTGCAAATTAGGTTATTACAACAAAATTTGCTTGAAAAACTATACTCTTAAATCAGCGCTGAACTACATTTGACCTGTGGTTCCTCTGACCATTAACACTGATTAATTTCTGCAGCAGAAAAAGAGACCCAAGATGCACTTCAATTTAAAAACCATGTGTCTGGAAATAAAACCAAGCTCATGGGAGTGCAATTCTGCTTTAAAACTATGAAATATCATCCCTCGAAGCTTTGTTTTCGAAGGAAAATGAAATGTTAGGTTTGTAACCTTTCCTCCTCCCTGTCACCCTTTTGCTACTACACTACCAATATTTGGAAATACAGTGGCTGAATATATGACCCACACACAGCCCAAAATCGCAAAAGGAAGCTTGTAATCAAGGGCGATCCGCCACTGCTAATGACGTCATTCCCACTGCACAGATGCAACTGTGGAATAGAATTTCAGCCACTCTGTGCAATATGTCATGATGGATTAGCATGTTGCCTTATCAAGTGCAAAGAAAACGGTATCCTTCATTACTGTAACAGTTTATATTTACATATGGTACTGAAGTGTGTCAAAGCCTTTAAAAATATATATGATTACAAGAAAAATGAAGGAATAAACATCATTCAGTTCAAAAAGATAAAATGTTAAGGAAGGGTTCCTTGACAGACAATTATTTCCTCTTGCAAAAGAGCAAGATGTATCTCTTTGACGCTGTTTTCCACATCAACTCTGAACATATTCTCTTGGAAGAAAGCCTAGAGTGAAATTTATTTCCAAGCAAACCACTCAACTGTCACAACTTTCAATGTTATAGAATAAAGCTGGTTTGGTCCTACACAATGAGACAGCCAAAATACGTCATTGCCTCTTGGACCAATTACATCTGGCACAGGCACCCAGAGAAGAAATTAGTCTTGGTGTATGTGAGATTGTAGTCTTACAACAAACAAAGTGGAAACTGCTTAGGGCATTGTTAACGCCACAGACCTAAATACATTTTGGACCAATCTGTCATGGTTTCTCTAGTTAAAACCAGGGAATTTAGTTTTCCAACTTCGATGAAAATCTTGTTCAGTGATTTCATTTCTTAAAACAAAACAAAACAAAACAAACTTAAAGGCAAACTAAAAACTCCTTCAACATGATATACGGACTGTCTAACTCCTCAGAATGATAGTGTGTGTATGTCCGTATACTTGAGAATATATTCACGTATGTTAATTATTATTTATTGAAAATATTTTTGCAGAACTAGAAGAAACAACTTGAGTTATATACAGCAAAAGAGATATTTAAATCGTTGATCTTCTGGCAGAAGTATGTCCATGTCCTGACTACAAACTACTGCAACCAGAGGACTGGTGGTAAGTGGCCACCATAATGACAAGCAGGGGAATCCACAAAACTATTGGTGAGCTAGCTTAATGTCTGGCTCTAAATAAACTGGTGGAAAGCATGATTTTAAAACGGGCAAATAGTCCTGGAAAAAGGAGGACTTGCCTCACACTTAGTACCAGAATCCAGTCAGGGTCATCCAGTGAAGCTAACTAACTATGAGAAATTTAGGACAGGCAAAAAGTACACCTTCACACAACACACAGTTTAACTATACTATCACAAGGTGGGGTGATGGCTGCCAACCTGGACAGCTTTAAATAAAGTTTATATAAATCAAATAAATATATAAATATATAAACAAGACAAACCAATGCATAGTGAGACTATCAACATTACTACACAAGACAGCTATATATTAACTTCCATATCAGAACCACTATATCTCATCAGTTGCCAGGGAATGTAAGTGGGAGACTGCTACTGCCCTCATGCCTTGATTGTGAGCATTTGGTTAGCCACCCTGCTAACCAGAGAACATTACAGCAGAGGAGCCTTGGATCTGATCCAATACAGCTTTGTTTTTGTTCTTAGAAGAGAATGGGCGGAGAAAAATCTACACAAAACCTACTTCCCTAAGTCTAAAAGGACAGGGTCTTGTTTAATTACAACTCTCTCAAGGCACACTGCAAACATTTCTTTTTTCTTTTTCTTTTTTGCAAACTTTTGGATACTCATAGGAACTAGAAGCTTCTTCAATAAATGCAAACTTTCTTAGGAAGTTAGGCATTTATAAGTTAAACTGCTTCTCCCCACAAAATTTGCATAATTAGTTTCTCATAATCATCTAAGATTTCTATCTCGGGTATCTATATCCTGCACAGATACTCTTCTTTTATTATTATTCACAGCCTATTAACTCCGTCGTAACCTCTTCAATGTTAAGGTGGTATCATAAAACATTCTCATGCATGTAATAAAAGCACAAGCCATACCACAGTACTCACTGCGATTTTATGATTCCGCATCATATTATCAAACTCTTCATTAATTTTTTTATATTTTTCTTCTGTATGCGGCGTGAGCACATACGAGGTGTCAGGGTCCGGGCTGTCGCACCCTCTGTTTTCCTTCTTGTTCAGAGCCTAAATAATGAAGTTAATAAAAAGAATCAACAAATAAAAAGTAGGAGGTAAAAAAAGTACTTACAGGGCCTCGCTTGAAAATAAAATCACTATCTTCATTTAGTTTGCTGAATCTGTCATCCGATAGTGGACTGTGCTCAAAGTAATCGTCAGCATCAGGACTCTCACAACCATTAAGGCCTTTCTTTCTTAAAGTCTGAAATACAATTGGAAAATTCACACACAGACAATACTAAACTTGCCATGTTATTTCTTTTCTTTTTTTAACTGTAAACTTGTATTAAGAGGGCAGGGCTATTTTGTACCCAGAGCCACTGAAACAATCTGTTCCACACACAGCGCCACCTCTTAGCACTCTAAACACACATTCTATTCCCCATCCCTTTAAAAAAAATCATCTTTTTCTATGCAATCTGGGTGTCTCTGGGAGATCTGAAGACTTATCCATGCATACACAGTTAGAACAGAAGCTTATCACTCTAAAATAAGGTTTATCTACCATTAGAAATCTTTGCTTTTAATAAAACAGAGGCATGGAAAAGTTTTGTGAATGTTGCTTCCTTGTGTGAGTGGGGATCACGCATGGAAACAGGAGCGGGCACAGTACAGCTCTCTCTAAGCTGCTGAACTGCAACTTCCATCGGCTTTAACCCTCGTAGCCAATGGTGAAATATGTTGGGAGTTGCAGTCCCATAACCTGTGAAGGGTCATGCTTTGCTCACAAGGGTGATGGCAAAGGCATGGCATGATCTACACAAGGCATAGTAAGGATCACACAAGGGATATTTTATGGTTTTATTGTTTTAAGACATACCAAGGATCAAATTAAGCATCACAAGAGACTCTTGCAGAGTGTGGGCAGCATACAAGTCAGGTAGGTGGGTGGGTGGGTGGATGGATGGATGAATGGATAAATAAGAGACTACACTATCTACCCTGCTACTGTACTTTAAAAAAACAAAACCATCCTGGGATCTGGACAGAAGGGGTGGCAGGGAGGTTGCTTAACCCTTTTCTTTCTGGAAGTGTTTCAGTTCAAAAGCCACCACCTGCAAACTGTTAGAACAAAGACATTCAGCAAAAGCACACACATAAGCTGGTGGAAGAGCAGATTGGTGATTCTGAATGAAACATTCCCTTTAATAAAAAGATTCTAGCTGCCTACCAATGCAGTGGGGAAGAGAAGAACAAAATCCTTCATGACATATAGGTTGTATCTGAGAATGCACTCATTACTGATTTTGCACACAAATTGTGCCGGCATTCCTCATAAGACCAGCCAGTCTGAAAACTATTCCTTTGGTTATGAAGTTTAAAAATTGCTCTCCCAAGTAGTGATTAAAACTGGATTACCAGGTGAACAATGGTTAGTACACAGGTTTTTGCACTTCAAAGATAGAACAGTACGTTCTCCACCCAGATCACCTTTTCTTACCTCTCTCTGAGTTTGGAAAGCTTAGTTACAAACCAGAAATGCATTTTTTAAGGAACAAATAAGTACTCCGAGTCTCTATACAAGACCAGTTTGTCTCTATTTCATCCACCTGTAAAATTAAGACCAACTACTATTTGCTGTAGGACACTTTAGTTGGCGTTATTAATACCCATTAATGTCAAAGGAGGAGCAAGACTCTCAAGGGTCAAGCAAACCAATATTTGTATCACTCTTCTAAGGTCTCCAATTTCTTAGCATTTACAGGTATTTCAACAGCTTATTTCAGCATCCCAGAAGTTGAAATAAACACATACAATTGGTGGTGGGAAATGAACTTAAAGCATGGTTATATATATATTTATCTGCACTAAATTTATTTCTGATAAACAAATTTTAAAAAATGGAACCAGCTCAAACTGTTAGAGAGTTGGATTTCCATGACAACTGGACACATGAAAAGTTGTTGTACGTTTAAGCAAGACCACAAGGCACCATTAAGATATAATTCCATCTCGGGTTACTTGGCATGGCGTTGTATGTCCCCACATACAGGGCTTGGAACTCCCACTAAATCAGCATACAGATGGAAAACAGGTGTAGCTTTTGCCAACACCTGTCACAGCACTTATCGCTACTGTCTAACCAATCAGGTGGATACTTATATGGACTTCACCATACATGGTCCTGCTGTCCAAGGCTTTGAAAGCTATTAACTCTCCCAAACCTTCAACAAGGCTAGCCTGCCAGTCTTCTACACCACGATATCAGCAGAGAAAATAACACTACAGTCTGGATTACATTTAACCTTTATAAATTATTGAAGTCTATAAATAGACTCAGAAGGGTTATGCCATTCACACCAGAATACATATATTTCTCCCAACATGACTCGAGACTCTACATTTGCACAAAAAAAGAAGTAACTATCTATATAAAAATTTGCACAAAGAGGTACCAAATAGAAAAAGAGACTAGATGTTTATAAGACAGTCTTGACTACTCAAGACACATTCTGATCTTTCCCTCTCCTGGATGGCATGTGTGTGGGGGAGAGAGGACATATTGTGGCTACTCCCAGACTCTGGAACTCCCTCCCACTGGAGGCCTGCCTGGCCCCATCTTTGCTGTCCTTCCACAAGCAGGCAAAGACCTTTCTCTTTAGGCAAGCCTTCCCTCAGTGACTGGCTGCCTGAGTGGGGTTTTTTTATTGGATTCTTATGCATATTACTGCTTTGAATGTTTTTAGTATGACTTTTGTTTACTATTTCTTCAAATGGATTTTTTTCCTTTTTAATATTCGTATACTTATTGTTTTCAGCTTTAAATAGTGTATTTTAATGATATAAGCCATCTTGGGTACTTTTAAAGGAGAAAGGCAAGGTAAAAATATTTTAAATAATGAAATAAATAGAATCTAGAAGTAATTTGGAGTGTTTAATACCAGTTTCACACAAAAAAATCTATGCAGAGAAGAACTGGACTGAATTTATTCCACTAATTTAATTTCCAAGCTCTGAACAAAAAGATATCTGACCTCTTTGTAACAGTTATTTTAAGAATGGAATTAAACCTGCTTTGACTCAGAGGGAAGGAAAAGGTCTCACTATCTCCCACTCCAGATTCTGGAAACCATCACTCCAACCAAACTTCTTGTCACTTTCAGCTTGTTTAAAACTACAGCTCCTAATATCTGATAAATAAGTCAATGTCTGTGTTGGTATCTGGAATTTTGGCTTCCTAATCTAACACAAAGAAATGTCCCTTCGTAGCCCTAACTCTGATAAGAGTGTCATTTACTTAAACATTATCAAGTTCGACAAGAGTAAAACTGTTACTCCTGCATGTCAAGGGAAACAAGTGGAATGCTCTAATCTTTAAGCAAGGCTAGCCACAATCTATGGGAAACAGGCCAGGATAGCTATGTTTTCTCACAAGCAAAAATTCCAGAGGCAGCCAGCTCCTACTTTAAAAAAGAGAGAAGGCTCTGATTCTTGGGAAACTGTCTATGTGAACGCAAAAAATAATCATAATAAAAAGATTCCACAATCCCTTCATGGTTCTGCTTTTCACATCCTCTACGTCTACACTGTACTTCAACTGTACTTTGCAATGTTCTAGATGCCTTGTGCTAATGCTATTTTACAGCTTTCTTTCTCCTAAACAATCTACAAGGTCAGCATCTAGGCAAGAGGTATATATCTCTTTTGTTACTAATCTTCCTTCATAGAAGCAGATAAACATTTTCCTTCCTCACAACCAGGGATCTACATATTTTGCCAGCCTTAGTGGCCAGTAAAATCAGTTCTGCCTCTACTGAAATTCAGGACAGCCACATTTCTCTTGCCAAACATTCCAAAAATAAGGAAAACCGGTTAAAAGAATGATGGCTGTCACAGCACGTCTGAAGCCCAGTGTAACGCCACAATGCTCCTGCCATACTCTTCTTCTTCTTTTTAACTCAGAAGACCAGAAAAGGATTAAGGCATATTCTGAAAGCAACAAAACCTTCTGCTTTAGAGTATCTCCGAAAACCAAAAGAATAATCAGCATGATCTCCCCACCCCCTTTCACACTGTTTCCAAGTGCCTCTGGAGCCTAGCTGATGCTCAAGGGAATGTGCGCCTGTCTACAGAAAAGAAAATATTTTTTGCACGCTGCTCTGGTAGCTCCAAGCACAGCACAGAATCATATAGGCCCCCACCTAGCTATTTTTCTTCAGACTTAGAAGATACACCTGCCACCACTGAGCTGGTAATGGTTATGTAGGCCCCTGTCCATAAACACAACCTTGTACACAACCATACATATTGGCCTCAATTTCACACATCATGGCCTGGCTCTGGGGTCTTTCTGATAAAGATAAGACTTAGGGATCATCTCTATGAGCAATGTCACTGCTGACGTCTCAGGGAAGCAAATGTACAGTATTTACCTTATAGAACAGGACCCTTGCGGGGGTGGGACACTAAAGACTACAGGAAACAACAAGTATGTAGCCCCATGTGAGGCTCTCACTCAACAAATTCAAACATCTTCATTAACTTTACCATGCTGGATTGCAAAGAACAAAGTACAACTGGAGAATAATAAATACGAAGTCCTAATTCATCAGGGCGGTTGCACATACTCTCTTTTTTTTCCAAGCTTAGCAAGACAGCAGGTTGTCTGCACTTCTTTCACTTCCAGAACCTCCCATAAAGAATATCTAGAACATATCCAAGCTACCAGATTCAACTAACACCTGAACAGGACTGTAGCACCCTACAGATGCATCCAATCGTAATTCCAAGCATTCCCAGCCAATATGATGGCATCTAACTGGAAAGGGTTAAGCTTTTTTCAATAGGTTGTGCTTGCCACAGTGAAGAAAGTCATTCAAGTGGTCATCTGCCTAGCGACATTAGTGAGGTCTAACCATGTGCCAGACGACACATAGAAAGTTGCTAAGAATGTGCTCCTTCCCTTCCTCTTGTGAATCATTTTTCTAGTGTCAGGCATCTTAGACAAAGCAGTGTTTGTTTTTCTTGCTCTACTCCTGCACTTGATGAGTTTTACCATTTCTTGG